AACGAAGTTCATCTATATTCATGGAACAAGTTTTATAGTTGTTCACATCTTACAATGCAGGTCTGTGGATAATCCAGTTATGCTCCGCTGCCTAACAAAATTCCTTTTCCTGTGTCCATTTGCATAATATGAAATGATAAGCTGAAAAGTGTTTTTGCCGCCTGAACAATATGCAAAGGAACAGAAATGCTTTTCCAATGGGAACACAATCTTATCGTTGGATTTTCTGTGATAACATCTAAAGGCATTTATGGATGTGCATGTGTACATCTCTTTATTTATACATTTTCAAAAGTAGATTGCATTTCGAACGATCTGCCAGCAAAGTCTAGTGCAAATGTTTTAATTTTAAGCCCACTTATGAATGAGATTACTTGAGCAAGACTCATTGGCTGTGGGCGGTTCATTAAACATTTAAACATTATATTAGGCATTAAGTTAATTTGTGTGGCGTTTAAAGTCCAAAACAGCTGATAAGATTCTCCTTCCGCCTGCAGAAAGTCTGACCCCAGACCACTTGTTGCTATTATCTGTTTTTGGCGTGGCATTTAACTCGGTCAATTGATGGCACTGGCTATCAGCAGGCAACGCGTTATCAAATGCTCATAAATCATGCTGGAAATAAAAACATCCAACATTGGCAAGAAAATTCGGAATTCTCAAATTTAATTGATGTAATCGTTGCTCTCTATGCAGAGAGGAAAACTTGTTATCTTATATACCTACATACATACATATGTACACACACACACACATGCACATGTTTGAATAAATAAATAGAAATATCAACAAGTTTTTGGCGCACGGCCACGGTGCGTGATGTGTTACTGCTCCTGTACAGTGGAGGCCAGAAAAATGAGCATTTTCAAGCGATTCACTTAACTGTACATACATTTATGTACACGTCTGTTTTTGCACTTCGAGTGGCAAAAAAGCGTAGCCGAAACTGGGTCAAGAAACTTATACACAGACACTTCCTTGTGACGAGAGCAGAACGATGCGTAACAAAATACGAGCTTCTGATAACACCAGATTTACAGCTACAATGTGTAGAGGCAGAGGTAAACAAACACAATAATAAAAGCAGTAAAAGGAGGCAAAGCAAAATGAAAAGCAAAACCAAAACCAAAACCTGTTTATTGAGGCGAGCGTTGCTGGGGGCTGGCTGTATTGGGTTTATTGTTTCAATTGGTTTTGTACCAACTGCTCGTTGAGATTACCGTTAATGGCGCTACTAATAGCCCCTCATAATTGATTACTCGATCAACAAAAAATATATATGGCAGGTCTACAGTTCGACAGTTTGATTATGAAATCGCAGTGGCACTTGTCGCTCCTACATGTCATGGCATATCCTGTGACTGATGCCCAAATTATCGACACAATTATCGAGGAGCTGTGCCATTTGTTGAGGGAATTGTTTGTTGCTCCGAGGCGAGTCTTTGTCCTTATCTTCGTGTCGATATTGCGGGTCTTGCGCCAAGCAGATAGCCAGCCGTCTGATTAGTTTCTTTGTACATATTTCTGTACATATATATTTTTGTATCTTTTTATATGGCCTATTTATCTAATTTCACACTGCTCACGCCATTCGTAATATTTTCGTCGTGATGTGGGTCTATATTTAATCTGTGGAACTCTACAGTAGAACCTGGAATGGCTAGAGAAGCGGAAATTTTCAACGTTTTTGTCTCATATTTTCCACGGCACAATGCCCCATCTGTCGTAGGAAAGCGACAGCACACTCGCGTAGCACACGCGAGTGAAAATCTTTGCGTCATCAGCACCACGCACGCGTCCACCAAGTGATCTTTTCCTTCAGCTGATTGGCGCATTGAACGAAACAAAGTTCAGCAAGGCAATCGCCAAAAAGCAGAAGCGATGACGGGCACAGACATCACAAGGGGCATTGCGCTTTAATTTCATTTCGAATTATGTATTTTGATTAGGCATTTAATTAATTATGAATTCATATTTTGGACTGTTGGATAACTCTGCTATGCTGCTTTGAATATTTTGTGTTGCACCCACTGCTTGTTCTTTTTTTACACCCACTGATAATGAACTGGCATTAAGTGCACAATCTTTTTACTGCAGCGTTGTTATTGCAGCCCACAAAGGCTGACTGAAAGTTGACTGAACTGAACCTTGTTTCTTTGTTTCACCCTTTGCACAAGTACCGTTCGTTCACTCACCAATGCACCTCCCCACTCTAGCCCTCTAGCACAGATATTTTTTTGGCATCGGTAGCCCCATCCCTTTGTTGCTCTAGTTTGCTTATTAGGCATCCCAATATTATTCGGAAGACTTATAAGAGCTTTCTGATAATTAGCTTGGAATCAATAAAGGACTTGTGTGTGGAATTTCCCATCATTGATTAATTGATGGCTGCACTTCACAAGTTCCTCAAGTGTTAATCGATAGCACTGTGTTCTGCTGAGTTCTGATTTATTTCGTTCATTCGTTAGCACCGCAAGACCTTTTTATAACCTTGCCCCTCATAAAATAAGTAGACAACGGTCTCATACGGCCACGCGGGAGTTCCTCGTATAATCCTCCCTTTACCATGAAGTAATGCTTTGGCTGATAGAGTAAGCTGAGGAGCGGATTCTTTGGATTGATGCGCATGTTGTTCATGGCGTAGGTGCCCTTGGTGAGCGGACAGCTCATCGTGTAGTTGCTTTGCTTAAGCACGCTGTCCTTGGCGGGCTTAAAGAGCGGCACCGAGTTGAAAACATTTTGCAAGTCGCACAGCCTGGTGGATGCATTGTATATGGTGCGGGACTTCTCCTTGCCGGAGCGCTGAACGATTAGGATACGGGAGACAGGCGAGGCGATCTCTTCGTTGATGGTGGTAATGGAGCCAATTCCAGTTTGGTTTGAAAATGTCATATTCACTACAAAGCGGGGACGATCGTCTGTCCAGTTGCAGTAGGTTAAAATCACATAAAAACAGCTCTAGGGAAAGTGTTCTATTGTGGTTAGGAATCTGCAGGTGAAGGAAAGATATTTACGCACCTCCTTGCACTCAATTACCAGGCGCCCAGTCAGCAGCATCCAAGCGATGATGGACACAAGTGTGCTCCAAGCAAAGCGCATGTTGAAACACACTGACTCCAGTATCCCGACTGCGCTGACAAATATGAGGAAAATCGAACTTAAAAATTAAACAATTAGCATTAGCTGATCCACCCATCAAATATACATTATAATCAGTAACAGTATAATCAGTATAATTACAGTGCGAGGGAGCATCATTGATGGAATTGATCCGAAAACTGTTTACACTCAGTGTAAACTTCAGCGACGCAATCGGTTACCATTCTCTCTCAATTGCATGCAAAAGACGCAGCAGAGAACCAACGGTGTAAATGCGTGGTGGGAAGAGGCGGAGAAGCCGATAATGCAAATGTACAAATGCATGTGCATGCAAGCGTCGACCAGCGTTAACCGTTATTCTCTTCTTTACTGGTTGTGAAAGCTTTCTGGCAAGTCGTTGCAGTGAAAATAAATATAATTATTAAATTATAAAACGCTCTTAATTGATTAGTACAATATGTCAAACTGCTGTGCTATGCTTAGTATCTGATTCAGTTTATGGCATACGCGCTCCGAGCCCGTGTTCTTCAGCACTTCGGCCAGCTGACGCTGTTCTTTTTGCTGTGCGGTCACATTGTCGGCCAGAATGAATCGCGTCATGAATATAGCATGCGGCACCTGAATGTAGGCAACACGTTTCACCTCAGCCCGAAATCTGTGGAGCAGCCAAACACACAAATAAAGAACGCAATCTATTGCTGGTTCTATTCGCTTATCTTACGCTGTGTAGCTGTATCCCGATATCTCTGCCCCCACTCGTGCCAGACATCTTATGAATGTCTTGTAGTAGACCTCCAACATGTGTTCGAAGTGTAGCTCCAAGATGGGAATATCAACGCTTGATAACAGAAACGAGATTATATCATGCACAACGGAATCATATTGTGCTGTTTGAAAGTCGATTATTTTCATGTGAGTGGGCATGCCAGAGGGGTCTGCAAACAAAAAACAATATTAGAAAGAGAGAATGAGAGGCAGCTAATAACTGACCGTAACGGAACATTAGATTGTTGATCCAGAAGTCCGAGTGAATTATGCTGGTAAATGGCCCATCTGGCATGCTTGCGGGCGCTGCCAGAAAGTCAAAGAGCTCGTCAGATAATTGCTTCACGCGTGATACCAACTTCTCGTTATTGTTAGTCGCTTTGCGTATGTCTTCTAGTGTCTCCGCTTTCATTGTAGCCTTCGACTCTGGGGCAGCCGCATGCCAATCGAACTTCTCGAAGAAAGGTTTAACCTGCTCCTGGAATACATGAGGCTTCAGCAGTCGCAGTGCCAGAGGAAGCGCATGAAACTGGGCCATGTATGTGAGCGCCATCAATGTGTGTGGTAGATCGTAGGGCTGCAGCCGCTGGCCTGGAACGTAGTCACTCCCTCTCAGATTTTCCAGCACCAATATGGCATTATGGTCCACCAGCTGGCAGCTCGAATCAAGGGTTGTCCGTGAACCGTAGTATTGCGCGAATCCATCAAAATGTTCAGCCTGTGGTATGCCCGCCTCTTGCTGCAGTGTGGCCAGGGCAGGTGCCAGGATCTTATATACAGCATTTTCAGTAAGACAAGTCCTTTCGGGCTGAATGAATTGCCAGTATTTGGGATCTGTTGGTGGTACTTTAGCCACCAAATTCACTTCATAAGGCTCTCCTCCATCTGGGCGTTGAACCTGTGCGCGAATTGATAGAAGCACACTGCCATAATTGTCGCCCGGCTGCGTCAGGCTGTTTGTTTGGTAGCTGCAAAGTCTTCCACCGCCAAGGTATGGCTCGATAACCTGATGAAGTTCACAAATATCTGGCAAACTGTCCATGCTGCCTCAACACTTAATTGGTACTCTCCACAAGAGTGGCGAGAACTTATTTCTAAAGCGGCTTTGCTTTGCCTCCTACTGATTAGTTTACTGATAACAGAACGTAAGGTGTCGTTTATTTGATATCATTATGACTGTCTTTAGAAGCAGCCTATCCGCCATGACTTAGTAGAATAAATTAAACTTTTTGCCCAATCTCAAGATCTCGCCAAACTTAACTACAATGTCCTTAGCTCCAGTGTTCTTGGTCAGAACCGTGAGGTCTACATCTTTGTAGTCTGTTGGCAGTGTGCTGCTGTCGGCCAAGATAACTTTCATCATAAATATGGCATGGGGCAGCTGTAAATGTGCTTGTTTTTGCACTTCATCGAGGAATCTGGGGGTGTGGGAATGACAATACACATTTGTAGTTTCTCTAGAAAATTCACTTACGTTTCATATTTATAGCTATTAACATCCACATCGACTTTGCGCAAGGCTTTAATAAAAGCATTGTAGTAGACTCTCAGCAGTTGGTAGTAGTTCTCCTCCAAAACTTTGGTTTCCACACTGGAGAATAGTAAAAATATTATATCGTGCACCAGCGATCCATACTGAGCAATTTGAAAGTCGACAATTTTAAGCTTGATCGGAACGCCATCATCGTCTGCAAGGGATTTGGGATGTAAAATCTATAGTTCACAGCATTTTCTCGCGTCTCACCATATTTCACCATTAAATTGTTAATCCACAAATCTCCGTGCACGAGCGTGGTGTAAGGGCCATCCGCCACATCCTTGCCAGCCTGAAACTCATCGAATTTGTCCAGCAACTCTTTGACGCGCTTCACATCAGTTTCATTGCCATTTGCCGCAGTCTTGATGTCGGCTAGGAGCTCAGTGTTCATCACTTCTTTTTCTTTGGGCGAAATATTAAGGTTCATGTCGAACTTCTTAAAGTAGGGCCTCACGAACTCCTCGTACTTCTGAGGATTCTTTAGCCTCAAGGCAATTGGCAGCGCGTGATACTGCGCCAAGTAGTGGAGAATGAGCACAGTGTGCGCCATATCATAGGGCTTGTAACGGTTGCCGGGCCTATAGCCGTTTACTGTTACATTTTCCTGCACAAGTACGGCATCCCTGTCCACCTTGGTGGCGCTGTCGTTCAGCGAGATGCGGGATCCATAGTAGCGGGGAAAGGCATCGAAGAGTTTGGCGGGCAAGATGCCAGCTTTAAGTTGAAGCTGATTCAATTCGGATGCCAAATACTTATAGACAGCATTCTCTGTGATGCAGGTTCTTTCTGGCTGAAAGATTTGCCAGTAAATATCATTGGTGACTGGTGGCAGCTTCGCTATCAGCGACAACTCCCGAACTTTCGAATCTTTATCCTTGATTTGTGCCTGAATGGCCAGCATGACGCTGCCATAGTTGTCCCCAGGCTTTGTTAAGTAGCGACTGGAATATGTCTCCAGTGTAGTTCCCTCGGGCAGGTGTGGCTGGATCACTTTGTGTAGATCCGTAATTTTTGGAACTTCCTCCATGTTGGAACCGCTCTCAGTCAGATTGAAAAATGGGCCTGAATGAGCGAAGTCTCGATTCTTTACACAGTCGCCTATAGTATTATTTAGCTTTTGTTGCATGTGTGGTAGTCAAATTATTTGTTAACTAGCCGAGCGTCGGTCGGCGCTGTGCGAAAAAAATTAGCTCAAGTGGCGCAGATAACATTTATAGAGTGATACCTGGGACTCGCGGGGCATGCGTGACAGCATGTTAAAAATAGTATTTCCATTTTGCTTTCAATATCGGCAAATCTGTGCCAGTCCCTTATGGGTGTCTACGGGGTATTTCATAGTCAGTGAGTTATCTCCCTGTTACTGTTTCCCCCTGTCTCAATGGGATGCCGCTTCGTTCATATCACCCCGCCACAGAGGGGCTGATGGTAGATGAATTGTGTAAGTTAGTACTACAAGAGCTACTCAATCAACAGCGGCAACGATGCCATCAGCAACAATCAGTAACATCAGCATGTGGATGACTAATTAAAATGTCTTTCTTATCACAGATGCTTATATGCATTGTGTTCAATATCTACATATGGATGAGGGATGCCCAATTTCTATCGATAGATGAATCTTCGCTACTGTTGCTTGCTATTATTTGTATGCATTTCAAACAAATAAAACTGTGTGCATGGTTTTTTGAATTAATTCTGCTACATGGCAACTACATGAGAGATGTAGATCCTCTGCCGGCGAATATGAGCAATGTTTATGCTACGGTCACACCGAAAACTCACTGTCACTGTTTTATCCAAATACTTACAGATGGGAGCAAATTGAAAGATATCAAGGTAATACTTTGAATGTAGGGGATTGGAAGAGGCAATGTTTTTAAATAAATTATTATTTTGTATCTATTAAAATAGTAAGTAGTAGTTTCGGTATATTTTCGAGGGGTCTGACGGTATATTTGATCGATAATGTCCGCGGTTACATTTTACATTCGTCCCATCGCTAGCATCATTTTGAAAATTGGAAAAATATTTATTAAACGCCAAACTAAATGCCGAAACTATGAGCATTCTCTTGGATTTGCACGCTTTAAGCGTAGACGACATTGTCGAGGAGTACAAGATACTGCACGAGCGCAATCAGAAGCTAAAGAACCAAACCGAAAACGATGCCCAGCGCATATACGAACTGAAACGAAATCTGGACACGGCGCTGGCGGCGGAGGCCTACCTGACCCAAGAACTCGAACAATTGGGCACGCCGGCGGAGGTACGACCCGGTGTGGAGGTGCAGGAGCTGGAGGAGCTGCGCGGGCGCTTCAGGAGCCTGCAGGTGGAGCTCGACACGCTCCAGCAGGACTATGACAGCAAAGCGGAGGAGGCGCGTGGCTTGCAAAACCAATTGGCGGCTGCAGAGCGTGGGCTGGCAGCCAACTTGACATCCAAAGATGAACATGAAGAGTGCCACCAGCGCATACATGCCTTGGAGCATGAGAACTCTGAACTGCTGCATAAGCTGGCGGAGCATGAGGAGTTCAGTGTGAAACACATTCTGGAAGTGGCTGAAAAGGAGGTGGGTTTTAGAGCTTTATCCCTCAATGGAGAGACTTTAATGTTGTTTTTCTTTTTCGCTTAGAAAACCATTGAATGTCTGCAGGATCAAGTGAGCTGCCTGGAGCAGAATTTGCTGTGCAAACGCAACGAGCTGGAGGAGAAGGAGCAGCAGCTGTATGTCGCCCAGGAGGAGCTGGTGGATGCCAATGCCAAGATATTTCAGCTAACAAGTGCACCCCAAAGCAATGGTAGCTATAAGAGAAGATTAGCTTGTAGTTTCAGCTTCGATTTTGTGTGTGTTTGCAGAGCCCAAAGGCAACTCGCTGTTTGCGGAGGTGGACGATCAGCGTCAGGTGATGAAGCAGCTGCTGGCTGCCCAGAAAAAGAGCTATCTGGACATGAAGAAGACGTACACGGAGAGCGAGTTCGAGATACGACGCCTGAAGCGTGAGAATGTGGCCATGCACAGAGAGCTACAAGCATGCAGCACCATTTTCTGCAGTGCTGACAAAACCTACCAGAGTGAGCGGCAGTACAGTCCATGGGCGAACCTCTTATCATGATTTTCTACTCAGACAAACTCAACGAACGCATTGGACAGCTAATGAGGCAGAACGAGACCCTGGAGCAGCAGCTGAGTGTCTCCCAGAAGCGACTACGTGAGATTGCCAGCGAGAAGAACGTCACCTGGCTGGACTCCATGCTGGATTTCTGCAAGTATGAGTTGCCCAATCGCATCGACAGTGTGCTGGCATCACTAAGCAAACACTTGCTAAGCCTCTTGCTCTGAGGCTGGCTCCCCTCTAGTTAGGTAATTATCCTCACCATCCCTCACCCATTCATCCATTTAGACGCGAAACGGACGAGCAGAAGGCGCAACTGCATCGAATGCGCATCCAAAAGGCCGCGTTGGACCAGCAGATGCGTTCCATGCAGCAGGAAATGGCGCGGTGAGTAAGATTTCAACTCTTATTTGCGGTTTGTATTTGAATTTACGATTCCAGTTGGCGCTTTGAAGCGCTGAAATCTCGCTGCGTGCTGATTGATCGCGAGAATCTGCTGACGGAGCACAAGATTGCCTTCAAGCTGGTCCAGGCCATGGAGTTCAGTATCGAGGAGGCCGAGCTGCAAGCCGCACGGCCACGCATTGTCAGTGTGGCAGCCACAGAGAGACTCACGGAGGCTCAAGCTGAGGAAACTGTGCCCGAGGCCACACCAGTCGTAGTTAGGCAAGAAATAAACATTGAATCACCGGCTACAGAGGCACCCAAGCCCCTCAAGAAGGGCACGCCAGTGAAGACGCGCGCAGGTGGCATAAAAATCAAATGCGAAGAGAGCTCGGTGGCAGCAGCCAAGCCCCAGATGAAGGGCACGCCCATCAAGACACGCATCAAAGTGGAATGCGAGTCCAGCGAGGAAGCGGATGAGGAGGAGCAGGAGCAGGAGGAAGAGGAAGACCCAGACAATGACGAATCAATTGACAATGCAGTGAAACCAGTGATGAAGGGCACACCCATTAAGCCACGTTTGGGCGTCATCAAAGTCAAGTCGAATGAGATGCTGATGCCCAAAGAAGCGCCCGAAGCAGGAGCAGCCAAATCCAAGGGTCGCAAGGGAACGCCACTGAAGCAAAAGGAACTCAAGAACGAGGACTATGACAGCGATGTGGAGGAGAGCAGCCCCGCCAAGCCACTGCGCAAGGGAACACCCGTGAGGGAGCCTGCCATGCAGGACACAACCAACAAGAATGTGCGCTCCATTCTGAGCAAGAAGCGCGAAACATTCGCCGAGGACAGCCACAAGATGGTGCAGTTCAGCGGCAGCTCACCTGTGGTACACAATCTGAGTCCCGTGGAGCAGCCACAGACCGAGGAGGCCAAGGAGAATGAAACGCCAACGACAGCAGCAGCTGTTAAGGACATCAAGCCAACGATTAAGGGACCGAACATCATCAGACGCATTGTCATCGGCTCCAGGCAGCCAAAGAAGTGAAATTTAAATAAGCAAAAACTATAATTAAAACTAAGAACAACAAGCAGCAGGCAGCCGGAAGAGCTAACAATTATTTCGAACTATTTTCTACAGCTGTGGCCCCTTCCTCCCCGAACGACAGGTGGTCGTAGATGGGCGCTGTGGGCGCCGGCATCTCTTTTGTCTCTCCCTGCTCAGGCAGCTCCTTGATCTCGGAGTAAACTTGATACGGCAGCTCCGCGGGCAGTGACTCGTACGTCACATGCTGCGTGCGCGAACAGGAGGAATCCCTGTGGCCCGCGCAGTTGCAGCTCACCGGCGTCTCGTAGCCATCCTCCAGCGCTGGCTCCAAGTCCAAGTTGCCATTTGCTATGGGATAGCGCACAATGTCCACATGATCCACGAAGCGTGGCTGGCTGGTGGACTTGCCGCTGCCAAAGCACGACACGCCCGACATGTAGTAGGACAAGTGGAAGAGTCGCTCGCAGTGCAGATAGAGGTAGAGCAGCAGGAAGAGCAGCGCGATGCCCAGCGGCAGCATGAAGACAATGATGAGAGCGCCCGAGCGTTGACTGCGATGCAGCTCCACGGGATTGCCGTAGAGCACCGTAAAGCTGGAGACATTCGTGTTGGGATGTGCCACCGGCACGAATGAGCTGTTGCTGGCCACAAGCATAATCCTGCCCAGCGGGCGAGCCGGTTTCGTGGGTGCCGCCTGCGGACTGCAGCTCAGCCCATTCACATTGATGTGGGAAATGTATTTGGAGTACCGCAAGAGCCGAAACAGCTGAGGTTGGGAGTGCGAGAAGTTGAGAAGCCACTGGCAGCTCCACGGGTTGCCATCGATGGACATGCGCGGCTGCAGGGACTGCTGCGGCTGCTGCTGCTGCTGCTGCTCCACATCCTTCAGACTCATCAATTGATTCGAACGCAGATCGAGATGTTGCAGCGTTTTCGGTGCAATTTGCAGCAACTGCAGCAGGGACAACGTTTGCAGACGATTCTGCTGCAAGCGTAGCTCCTGGAGTTGCGGCAATCCAACGAACCAGCTGCTATTGAGGTTCACCAATTGATTCCGACTGAGATCCAACGTTAAGAGCGAACTTTCAGCCAGTTCTAGAGAGCTCAGGGCATTGCCACTCAGGTTTAAATGGAGCAAACTTTGATTTCCTTTGTGTACAAGCCCAAATCCCTGCAGTTGACAATCGACAAAGGACACATTTATCAGTTGGGATGTTCCATTTGCCAGCAGCAGACTTCCCTTTCCTATTTTTGTACTCTCCACACTGAGTTCCGTGAGATTGTCAGGCATTAAATCAAAGAACTCCGCTGCAATCAGCTTCAGTTGCCTCAGTTGAAGTTTTTGTAGCTGCGGCAGCTGTGCCAACACTTGAGCATCCTTCAGAGCCAATTGCTGCTCCTGCCTGATGCTCAGCTCTTGGAGCTCCTCACAGCCCAGCAGCGGTTCCATGTACCTCAGGGAGTTGCTCTCCATCCGAAGACACCTCAAATGAGGCAGCTGCTCGAAGCTATGCCCACTCAGCGTGCCCAGCTCATTGTTCCTAATGGACACGGCTGTCATCTTGTTGAGAATGGGACCTCCGCAGCCCAACCTGAGCGTGGAGTCACCCACAAATCGCTCGATCTGCATGCTCTGCAGCTGGGGACAATTGTCCAGATACTCCAGGCCATAGCTGGCCACGCCAAGTGGCGGCGTCTGCGTCCCATCCAGCAGCACATGACTCTTGCCGGCGACACGCTGGGCGCCAAGGTCGAAGGCTGTCAGTGCCTCCAGCGTGCTGTTTCTGGAGCAATCAATGTCCAGCGGCAGGCCAAAGTCTTGGGCGCTGCGATCCCATGCCGGCGTCATGTAGAGCGTGGCGCGTATGACGCAAGTGAATGTCTCTGCGTAGGCGGAAGACAACTCATCGTCAGCTGTTGCTGCTGTTGCCCTCACGTGTGACAAGAACAGCAGCAGACACTGCCAAAGGCAGAGCATGACGCAGTGCGTCACTGTGTGTGGGGAATGCCTGGGGCTGCCCATCCGGAGTACGTACGCGACGCGTGCGAAAATTCAACTGAGAGCCGAGGAGCGACCCTCACATTGGAAAAGCCTCCGCTGAGCTGCAAAAACCAACCAACCACACCTTTGCGTTCGCCAGCCCCCCTCCAGCCACTCTCTAAGAGTATTCCTTACAAATTTATTTCTCAGAGATGTTTTCGTGTTATATTTTTAGCCTTCGGCTGCTCTTTCGGCTGTCATCGCCTGGTCCATCCTCTGCCTAATCTCTCGCCAACACTTTTTGCACACAAAGTGGCTGTGGAAATGTTGTTTATATGTAAAAACATTTTGTGTATTCCATGGAAATGGAATTATTGTATTGTTTATTTAGTTGTGGTCCAATTTGATTGGCACTTGTTGGTCATGGCATGAGATCACACAGCTCAGGTGCATCATTTTTGCGCTTCGATCTAAGAATTTCTTTCCCTTATATTAAAAAACATTAGTTTCCTTTATAAACACACTATTTTGAGTTGAATGAGCTCTTATCTCTTTCATCTGTCTCTACAAGTTAGATAGTTGGACATTTTCGGGTCCCTAAAAAAGCTTAGCAAGTCTGCAATTCAAAATATAGCTAGCTGCGCGCGTTGTTGATGATCAGGGAAATTCTCTCCTGTCACGGACATTCTCTCCTGTGTCGAAACGCTCAGGGAAATGCTCTCCTGTCAGACGCTCTCCCGACTCATTGCGTCGTTTCAAATTTGAGCACAGCAATAAGCGCCTTAATTTGAAATAATTTCTTACCTTTCTTCTTAGTCTTTTTATTATAAAACATTACTTTCCTTTATAATCACACATTATTTCTTTTTTTTTTCTAATGAAAAATATATTACTTATCAATTTTAATCAAAGAATACAGCAACATACTGCAACCGGACAAGTGTAAGACCCAAACAACTTGATTATATGCATCGCAAGCCCTCGGTCTCCATTTCCTCTAGAGGGTGTGAGCCATATCTTCAAGTTGCTTAGGTCTTGGCCTTCATTAGCATCATGCGTGGATTACTGCGTCCGGCGCTGGATCCCTGGGAACTTTGATTGGCCCGACCAATGCCCGAAGACTCGTTGGGCCGAACCGAGCCAATGCCGGCACTGGCGGGGCCACCAATTCCTCCACTGCCGCTTATGCCGCTGCTGGTGCCACCCGATGTCATGGAGTAGATGTGTCGTCGCAGCACGCGAATGTGTTTCTGGGAGACCTCAAAGTTGTGCACCAACGTGTGCAGCTGGGCCTGCAGCTCGGCAATGAGACTGTCGCGCTCTTGGATCAAGCTCGAGGTGGAATTCTGGCTGCGGCTGAGCTTCAGCTCGAGGTCGAAGATGCGCTTCTGCAGCTCGCGGCGCTGCTTCTCGCTCTGCTCTCGATGGCGGCACATTTGCCGCTTGCTGGCCGACTGCAGCGACTCCAGCTGCTGCTTGACGCTGCTCAGCTCCTCGGACAGGCGTCGCTTCTCCGTCTTGAGGGCTGCATTGTAGTTCTTGAAGATCTTCAGGTCACGCTCGGCAGCCTTCAGGCGGTTGATGGTCACCAGCTTGCGGCGCCCCAGCTCGTCGATCTTCAGCTTCAGCTGATTGGCCTCCTGGTGCAGCACTCGCAGCTTGTCCACCAGCTTGCAGTTCTCCCGCACGGCCTTCTCGTACTTGCTGTGCTCCTCCCGCATCAGCTGCGGCAGGTGCGAGATGTGCTTCAGCTTCACATCGATCTTCGAGCGGAGTGAGTCGATGTCGTGGTAGATGCTCGACTCCAGCTGCTTGTTGTTGACGTGCAGCTTGTCGATCTCGTGCTTCTGCGTCTTCATGATCTCCTGCGCCTTGACACACCTCGAATGGTAGTCGGACAGTCGATCCTTTTGCTGTCGTATGATGTTGCGATATTGTCCCTGCTCGGTCTTCAGGCTGTTGATGGTCGTGTAGAGCTCACGCGTGGAGCTGCCTTCGCGCTCCCTTGGATGCCCCCGCTCCTGCTTGTACTTGTGATGATCCTGAGAGGTATTCATCACGTCTTTGAGCACCTTGTAGACATCCTTGATCGAAGCGGGCTGGTTCTCTTGATCCTCCAGATCGTCATCGTCCTCGTCCTCGTCCTCGTCCTGCTCCCTTATCGAACGCTGGCGACGCCTGGCCTGGCGACTTGCCAGCGTCTCCACAATGTGGCTGCTGTACTCGCCGCTCACCTGATCGGACAGACTCATCTTCTTCGACGGGGAGTGCTTCTCCCTGGGGTACAGCTTCTGCTTCTTCTGGTGCAGATCCTCATAGGAGTTGGGCGCCTCCAGGACAGTCATGAAGCTGCTGCTGCTGCGAAAGATCTTGCTGCTGCTCTGCTCCAGGGACACATTGGAGGCAATGCTGGTCGAGGACTTGTAGTTGTAGACATCAGCCACGCCGTCCATCTCCTCCTCCTCGTCCTCCTGGTCGGAGCTGCTGCCACGCGTGGCCACAAACTGGTCGTGCTGCTGCTGCAGTCCGCTCAGCTGGTAGTTGATCTTCATGTACTTCTCCTCCAGATCCTTGGTCGTCTCGTTGTACTCCTGCAGCTCCTGCTTGTACTTGCACAGCTCCTCCTTCAGCTTCGCCCCAATCTCGTCCGAGTTTTGTGGCTTCTGCAGACGAGCATCCCGCGCACGTTCACCAGGGCGATAGGAGGCGGATCTCTTCTTTCCCAGCTTGGGTATGCGATGCCTTCCCTCACACTCGTACTCTTGCTCATCGTCGAGCTTGGGATCGGTCTCATCCACCTCGTTGAGAGCCAGTTCTACGTCTCCTTGCCCATCGCCATGATGCTCGTTATCCTTCCGCGGCAGCTCCTCACTCTTAGCCAGCTCCGAGTCGTTGCCAGTCGCCTCCATTGATTTTTTGTTCATCTGCTCCAAGGCTGCCTCTTCAGACAGTCAAAGTGGTGGCTTTTGTGGGTTACTAAAATTTAGCGATTGATCTGATCCAATTGAATTCGCACTTGTGAAATTTTAAAGCTGTTTTGTGCCAACAGAAAATTTTTACAACAATATTATCACATTCGTTTACTAAAATTAATTAATTAATGAAGTTATTCTCCAGACGATTCGAAAAGTACTGACTTTCAAGGAGATTTTCAGGCCAGGACTACTGGGATTTGTTGCTACGAAAAACTTGAGTGCAATTTTAAGAAATTTCCATATTATTTTTTGCTGATTTTAATATTTTTGATGCAATTTTTCATCAAAATGTTAGTGTTCAGATGAGCAGCGCTGGCCGGCTGGCAGCACTGTTAACAGCCCTGGTTAACAGTCGGTTTCCGCTCCCCGACAACAGACTGTAGCGTAACTGTGCTGTTCGGGCACACGTCTGCAGTGCTGTTGTGCACCCTCTACAGTGCCGTTAGCTAGTTACTTAGCTACTTGTGTTACTCTACTGCTGTTAGTGCACCCGTCTACAGTGCTGTTAGCGCACCCGCCGTTGGCTACGAGTGGGGGCTTTGGTCCATTTGGAAATCATTTTTAAATGAATTAAACGAGCCGCTAGATATCGAGGCCTTAGGCTGAAGCATCTGTGCTTTGATTTGATAAGTCTGAAGTACTGTCCAAGGGGCAAACATTTTAGTTTTGCCTCACTCACTCCCTTCGTTTCGATTTATACACTTTTTCCGAATCACAGCAGGCCATATTCTGTGTGCTATCATATTCCCATTCAGATGATACGGCTAGTGCCTCAGTTTATTTAATACGTTTAGGAATAGCACAACAGCTTAGCTGACACAAATTTTTTAGTTAATTTTTCAAATTTTTAGTGGGCACACAGAGGGGAGAATAAAAGTTCAAAAAACGTATAAAAAAAATATTTGGAAATTGTACGAAGTTGGAATAGAATAGCGTAAGGATGGCGGATACAGAGGGTACCGAAGAGGGTGGGGAGTACGAGGAGGAGCAAAAGTTCATGGAGGAGCACATAATGGAGGAGGGCATCGAGGATGATTTGTTCTCGCGCCTGGGTGAGTCCTCCGACGATCCGGAGCAGAAGCGCATGTACATGGAGTATCTGGCACTGATCAAGGAGATCGACTGCCAGAACAAGATCATCCAGGACATCAAGGGCAATGTGATGGACATGTGCTCCAAGCCCTGCCAGAGCCGCAACGATATGCGCGAGATCAAGCGCCTGCGCGTGTGCATGGAGCAGGAGAACATCAAACTCCACACCATGATGCGGCGTGCCATCGAGCTGCAGAACTTTGGCTCGCATCGGCACTACCAAGAGGTGAATCTGACCACCACCGTGGATGAGGATCAGCTTTCGCCCTACATGTGCAACATGGGCACATGCAACGGGGTTCGGGATAGCTCGGCAGAGCCCTGCAGCGACGATGCCAGCTCTTGTGCCAGTCATGACGGTGGCGGTGGCGGTGGAGCGATGGATGAGAGACTGATCTGTGCCCTGCAGAAGGCCATGCAGAAGATGAAGGGCGCCTGTCCGGAGGATAAGCGAATGATGCAGGAGATTGCCGCTGCCATAATGGCCTGCAAGAAGAAGCCGCCCGTCTGCAGTCCCGGGCCCTGTGGCGCGAAGTCTCCCTGCCCGGAGAGCAGCAGCAGCGTGTGCCCCGCTACACCGCCCTGTCGTTCGGCCAAGCGCTCGCAGGGCCACGCCCCATGTACGCAGAACTCATCGGCGCCCTCACACACAGCGTCCATGGACAGGCTGAAGCATCGCATTGTGAAAATGCAGTGTGCGGTGAAGAAGTTGCTGCACGAAGTGAGCCAGCGCGAGGGGCAGGATGCTTGCGATGATCAGAGTGAGGATGAGGAGCCCTGCTCCCGCCCATGCCCGGCACGCCCGCCCTGCCCGGAGGAACCCGATCCACTGGTCATCTGCGGCGGCAAGCGCAACACCAAGGCGGAAAAGTACGAAAAAATGAAGGATAACTACACGCGACTGCTGACCGAGTTCCAGCGTAAGGATTGCCAGATGAAGGAGATGCAGAAAAGGTAAGGGAATGCCCAGGGAAATGTTTCTTCTTCTGTCAATTCCAATCCAATTCCAACTCCTCCCCAGAATGAAGGGCATTTGTGGCAGCGGTCCATCGAAAGGCGCCGATGGAGAGGCCGATGCTGCCGAATTGAATCTGCTGCGTGCACGCGTCAATGAGCTGAAGGAGGAGCAGCAGGAGTTCAAGTGCATCATGAAGGAGCAGTCGCAGCAGCTGGAGGACTACCGCAACAAGTACTTGCTGGCCCAGCAGAAGGTCGAGGAGCAGTGCGTGTCGCTGGATAAGCTCAACATGAACAACAAGCGCATCGAGCAGCAGATCAATACGGAGGTGAAGGAGATCCGTGCCAAGTTCCAGGAGAAGCTCAACGAGCTGCTCCACTTCCCCAAGCTGCTGGAGAACGAGCAGCTGAAGCTGGCACAAATCTGCAAGGAGAAGGACGAGCTGCAGGGCAAGCTGGTGGTCGTCTGCAAGGAGCTCAAGTCCTGCAAAGCCCAACTGAGCTCCCCCACCTCGGTGGACGTGCGCCCACAACTAGCCCAGTGCCAGCTGGAGCTCACTCAGGCCCGCAACGAACTGGAGGAGCTGCTGCGCCAGCGAGATCTCTTCTGTGAGCAGCTGAAGGCCACCCAGGATGATCTCGACACACTGCGCACTGAGTCCGCCAAGATCATAGCCGGCACCAAAGAGCGCGCCGAACTGATTAAATCCCAGCAGCAGGAGCACATCAATCGCCTCGAGAAGGAGCTGGCCCAGTGCCGTGCCACCGCCTCACTGTCGGTCAACGATCGCGAGGCCGTCATACGTGAGATGCAGGGACAACTCAACACACTCTCCTACAGCTTCGATGCTGCCCAGAAGCAAATCAAGACGCTGCGCAATCACATTGCCTATGTATCCAATGAGAATTGTTTCCCAGTCAAGTGCTAGGAGGGTCCAACCAGAGACCTGTGATTCATGATTCCAAATTGTTCTGTTAAACCATAAATTCCAGACCAAGTTCTGCCATATAAAATGCAGTTAAATTACGAACAATTTGTGGGCTAGGGGGAAAAATGCCTTAGATTTAGCTTATCTTAACTGCTAGTTATCTAATTAAGATTCGCTTTTTATGGCGCTCCCTCGGGAAACAAATATATTGCTTTATTCTCTGTAGCACTTTGAGGAACAACTACTAAATGGTCAATGCTTCTATGTACTTTAAGGAGGAGGCGCTACTAATGGCGAGTAGAAAAAAACAATCTACAATGACTTGACGGCCAGTCGCTTCATTTTGGGTGCATTCTTTTTGGCCTGACGCTTCTGCTCCTTGGCCTCCCAGCGGCGCTGCTTCTCTGGATCTTCGTCGGCCAGAATGCGCTCCTTCTCCTGCTTGCGCTTGTCCTCGCGACGCTGAGCGGCGGCCTCGGCACGTGCAGCGTGTGTGCTCTTCAGGAACTCCTCCTCAACGCGCTGACGATTCTTGTCAGACTTGGACTTGCCCTGCAAACAGATTTGTAGTACCCAAAACTCATCGTATTTATGGATGGATTACCTCCTTGGACATGCGATAAGTCTTCAAACGTTCCATTAGGTAAAAGATCAACAATAACAACGGCTTAATGGTTTCCATTTCAGCATGCTTGGGCAGATTGAAGCCGGCCAGGAGCACCGGCTTTGTCTCCAGCTGCTTCAGTGTGTTGCCCTCCTCCTGCTGGATGGGGCCACTGAACTGATCCGAAATGTGCAGGTAATCGATATAGCTTTGGTATTTCTTAAGTGCGGTAATAATGCGTGTCTCCAGTATGGCAGATGTTGCCTCTGGCACCTCCGAGAGCACTGCGAAGCCATTGGGCACATTGTAGCGATCCTCCGGCTTCCCGACTAGACTACAGAATTTGCTCTGCAAAATGGCCAGCAAAATGGTTTTAGAATCGAATTTAAGTTGGGTATTTATAGAGGTTCCTTACCAAATCTGTATATTCCTTAAAGACCTTGGTGATGGTCTTCTTAGTGCCGACTGCAAATACAAATGAATCCATTAGGCCACGCGTCAGTTCGATTTTGATATGAACCTGATCCAGCTGGGGGCGCATCAGTCCTGCCACAAGGGACACCAAGTCCTGGCGCTTGATCATCTTCAGTTCGACGAGCATGCCCTCGCAGCATGTGCGTCCCGAGCACCAGAGCGTGTACAGGCTCTCGCTCTCCTTGATCAGACCGGGATTCTCATTCTCTGGCTTGCCATCGTCTCCCACCAGGGCAAAGTTCTCATCCAACAGAGCTTTGTGCGTGCTGAACCAGAGCTGTGCCAGTCGTGCGTTTTTCGCCTTTCCCGCAAAGAAGTTGGCAAAGTACGCCAGCAGACCGGCGACCATCAGCATCTCCATCCAATAGGAGTCCCAGTGGGTGCGGAAGTGCAGCGGGATGTTGGGTATATTCAGTTTGGGCTCGGCCTGTTCGTCGATTGGCGGGTCCTTGGCATCGCCGCCGTCATAGCCCTCGAACTCCTCCTCGTCCTGGAAGTGCTCAAACTCGTCGTCCTCCTCCACAAGGCCATCATCATCATCGTCGTCGACGACTTGCGGCTGCTTACGTGGCGGCACTTGTTCCTCCCTGGAGCCACTGTCCCCGCCAGCACCTTCACCTGCCGAATTGGACTCTGCATTCTTGGCCGCTGGCTCCGTGTAATAGTTGGATCCAACGAACTCATCATCGAATTCGGCAAAATCATTGTCATTATCGCCTTCCTCAAAGTCCGACTGCGCCTGGCACGCACAGATGAGCGCCAGCAGCAAAAAGGCAAATACTGGTCGCATTCTTAACAAATACTCTTCACTAATGTTACGTTTTCTGTCCTTAACTAAGTTACAATTTCTCTAAATGTGCTATATTTTCACCCTAATTAAGAAAAAAATAATCTAGGTTAAATTTGGGTTAGGGCTGCACAACTATCGATGGTTTTTTTTCGTTAATCGATGTATCGCTTGAGAAAAAGTAGGGTTCAAAGACTGGAATATTAATTAAGAAGTATAATATAAAAACAATCTTGAAAGGAGAAACCAAAAAATCAAAGACAAATAATATGTTTGATATATATATATTCAGACAACATATATTTTGTTT